TGTTTTAGATTTTAAATTTAAGACGGGTGAAATCTCAAAGGGTATATCAAAAAACATAAAAGAAAAGCAAAATTTAGAATTCAATTTAGGATCGCCTATTTGTAACAACATAGAACTCCACGGATAATCCAAAATCGGACGCGGTAATCCATAATTTGTGATATAAATTGACATTAAAGCAGGGCAAATTCTTGATCACATGAAATAATATCACGGCCAAGGTGAAGTACAAACTATAATGTAAAGATAATGTTTTTGAAATAAATCGTACTTACATCAGTGCAGACAAAAAGGACAAGAAAAACGGTGCAGATGCTAATCTCCTTCATAGTTTCTGGCTACAAATGCTTAAATTGGAGCGCTGGATGAGTGAGACCTTACTTTATGTGTAAACCAAGGCACTGTCGCCAAGAAATGAAGAGCGGATACAAAAAAAACGTTGTAGTTACTTCCTTTATGTTGTGGGAGTTTTCGAAACTAATTTTAAGTACGCAGTCACGAGGTCATCATAGAGTAAATATAGTAGATGCAAAACACTTGTTTTTTTTTCTGTTTATAATGTTGTATATGCGTCACAGTTCGGTATTGAATTTAATGATATTTCCTTCCATTCAGAGTATTACATTCGAACGGCCATGTCACTATTTCAAACAACTTTAAATGGCCTTAAAGTAGTTTCATTGTCCTGGGACGTTTCTTGCACCCTAGCAGCTGTTTCAGTCGCGTACAACGAATGTTACAGCATCGTTGTAGACTGGTTGACTTCCGGGTTTTTGACTTCCGCTAACCCACTAAAATATTGCATTTGCTGCTACAGTGGAGCAAACAAGGTCAAACTGGAACGAGCTGAAACGAGATTTTATCTTACATGTAGCCTACGCTACATCTGTCAGTTTTAAGTTTGTATTTCGATTCCCTTTGAGTAGTTCTCTTATCTTTGTCTCAATTAAAACTGGATTAAATCCTCCAATAGAGGTGACTCACATGGTCATGCAAGATTGTCTTTTCACAGGAAGTACGTCTGCAGATATAAAAAGAAATTACATTAGCATAAAATAGCGTTGGCTTCTTCCTACGCGTGGCATTTTCGCCCACCGTGGAAAAATTCACTCCACAAGAAAAATATTTCATCAGTGTAACTTCAAGAAACCGAAGCTCTGACAGAAATTATAAGTTGATTGTTAAGAACAAGTACTGTAATTATATTTTACCTTTCGCTTTCATGGCTTGGCAAGTGGCTCTTGTGACTGTCAAATTTCCTTGTTTCTTTTGTTTATAACAGATATTCATGTCAGGGCAGATGAAAGAAAACGTGCGGTTGGTGGTTACTTCTGTGAACACTTTCACCGAAACTGAAAATTAAATAATTCACTTATGTATGCATCAACTGTTTTGATTGTTTTAAAATTTGCCCCCACCTAGATAAAAGCGTTCTTTATACGAGATATTCACAGTGGTATTCGTTTTACTTCTGAATTAAACACACTGTCACTTATATTAGCTGTATGCTACCACTGAGCGCTATTTCACGGCTAATCCGTGCATAATATTGCAGAGTGTGGCAGAGCCAGCTTAAATACTCGTTTCTCGCGATTTTGCTCTTGAAAGGTGCGGTTTTCGGTTTCATATAGCTAAACAGTGTTGACTTTTCAAATCAATCATGGTTCGGTTTCCAGTTACATTGTATTATTTGTTTCTTGAAAGATTATAACTTGAAATTATTTGATTGTTATTGTTATTATCTCAGTGTGGCTTCTCGCTGGGGATTAATATTTGCAATTTTCGGGAGGTCGTGCCCTCGAAACACTAGTGAAACAGCACGCAGAGACGTCGTCGGAAGACCTTTATTTTGATTTAAAAATACAAAAAAATACAGGTTAATTAATATTGAACTTTTTGACACAAAAGCAGTTAATTTTTAACTTTTTCGTTAACCGTAACTGAAAAAAATTAACCGATAGCCGTAAAAGAGCCAAAATTTTAGCCGATAACCGTAAAAGCCACCACCCCATTGAGACCCTCCATAGTGGCTCATATACCATGATGGCTAAGCCAATCAGTCCAATGATTCAGTTTTTAATAACAGCTAATAGCCCAAATGCTTCGGCTACTTATACCTACTTATTAGAAATAATAAAGGGGTCATTCATTTTATCATTAATTAATTTATTTATAAGTGTAAATAATTTTAAATAACTGACGTAACTTGCTTTTATTATCCACATTAGTTTATTTATCTATTTATTTATAAATTAAATGATTTTAGATAACTGACATGGCTGAAAACAAGCGGGTTCTAAGACTTCTACCAGCTTTTATCATTCATTCGAAACATTCTCCGTTATTTGGTTCCCTGACTTACCCTTGATAACCAGCTATATGGTTGACCAAATTTGGAAGAAGTCTGCCAGCTATACGACTTACGTCAATTAGCCATTTTCTAACGAGCAGGTGACTGCAGGGAACGAATGCCTAATATCGTTGAACCAGACAACTGAAGGGACATTCAAATACTAAGTATATCCAGTTTACTAAAAATTCATACAGTTTTTGCTTTAAACACAAAGATATATACTACAGTATGTTGCCCAGTATCCGGACACTTCAGTTTAAGATTGCAATAACTTTCCTTTGTTAATCGCAAGAGCTCTGAAATTTGGCCCAGAGAAAATCTATCTAGTCCTTAATATGACGAAAGACAGTTTAACTTTTTCGCCTTTGTTTCCATCGCGAAATTAATATTTTTGCAGAGCTCCTATGTTGCCCAGTATCCGGACAGCTGGCCCAGTATCCGGACACAACAATAACAACGTAATTGTACATAAATTTCGACAGGAAAGCGACTTATAAGCTTCTCTTGCACTTGCAAAGTAGTCTGGCAATCGATTCCAAAAATATAACCTAGCATCGTGAAATAAAACATAACAAATGGGGAACGCGAGCGGCTGTTTTAAAAATGGTGTGATTCTTACTTCCTTGTCTAGGAAGTTTTTCACTGATTTAAGGAAGGCATCCGTGGACATGCCGAAGCGGCAGTTTGCAAGCTCAATTAGCCAATCTGCAAACTACTTTCTTTCCTCATTTTTTATTTTAAAAAAAAGCTTGGGGAAGGGACCTCAATCCGACGGTCAAAGGTCACTCTCCTATTTAGTCTGACCTGCAGTGCTGATTTCTTCATGCTCCGTCCCCACAATAAGCCTGCTTTTCTAGCACTAATTCCTCCTTCTTTCACATCTCTTAATCCCTTTGTGACATTTTTCAGACCGTTGCAACCCCATTCTAGCAGTCACAAGTGGGGAAAGTACGAGAATTCCAGGTTTAACTCAGAACTCAGCTTTCAGTTATATATAGAAAATGCAGTCACGCGAAACAAGCCGTGCATACGAAATCAAGTCACCTGTGAATGAGTGAAGAAAATTTCCATACGGAGTTGAGTAGAATTACATTTTACGACTATATCATATATCCTAAGCTTTAATTATAGTTACTGATATGAAATAAATCTTAACCGGATAATGTGCACAGCTAATTCATCGATTCTGTACGGCAAAGAAAAAACTGTCCGGATACTGGGCACATGACATCAAAACTAAGTGAATGTTTCTGGCCTCCGTTATTCCAAACAAATCGAATTTCAAGAAGAATGAATAAACTTTCTGAAAACCTGACTTCCTTAAGAATCTTCACTTTAAAAATAAAACAGTTTCTTTGAAAATATCACATATTACCCTCCCTTTTCTGAGCAACACTAATTTTACTGCGCAGTAAACAGCGTAAATATTAGCCATGAAAAGTTTACTCACCTGAACAGAACGGCGTCTTCTGCGACTGTTTCGCAAGCTTTCAAATCGCCAAAACTTTCATCTTAGAGCTGAAATGTTCAGTTTTCATTCGCAATACTTCGTTTACCGAGAACTGAAAAGGGCGCCTCAAAAACTGAGTTTTTGTTTCAAGTGTCCGGATACTGGTACCGTCCGGATACTGGGCAACATACTGTACACTATAAAAAATCTGTTATACAAGGCAGGTTTGTAGTATTGCAAGGATATGAGGGAAACGTGGCCTCCTATCCACACAAAGATCTTCTGATCTCTTTCATAATGAAAATTTATTTTAAATATTTAAGTCGTCAGAGTGGAGATATGGAAGCTCCCTTTTGACGTTAGCATGTTTTTAGCCTGGGAAAATGTTAAATGAATTTGATCAGAAAACAATATGGTTCGATTTGGCTGAAGTATGATATAAAGAATTACACAGATCGAGGAGGAGGAGAATATTATTTGATAACAAGTATTCTTCCAACAAGAACACTTTGGCGGTAGTCAGTTGCTATAGTCACGAGATGTGACGTCATAAGTGTCATAGCGTCAACCATTTTGGCTCTTTTGGCCAGTTTAGTACAAAAAATTATACTGGAAAAAAGGTTCAAAGCAGTAAAATGTTATCACATATTTTTCACCTCAAGTATGCAAAAGTTTTAAGTTTGTAAGTGTCAAGATAGAATTTTAATTCTTAGCAAATTTAATAGCTACCATAAACAATAGTTATATCAGTCATCTTGTATAGCTCGGCCGACCTGCCTCGTACCCAGGCGCGTTCTAGAGGATCGAGTTCGAGAGTTCCTGGAGCGATTTTGTTTCCCCTCAAGGCTTCATGGGAAAAGCCCACGCTTCCCAGCTTCCTTTCCGTATCTGAGGTCCATTGCGCGATACCTCCTTGATCGCTTGCAGTTGTGTTTTCAAGAGACACTTAGGAACGAGGTAGTCGGCCAAAAAAAGTCTAAATTTAGAATTAACAGAGTAGATTCTTGATACGGTTAAACTGAAGCATTCAAAATAGCTCATGCACGTTAAACGTGCTTATGTTGATATAAACTTGAAGTTTCGCACGCTAGTCAACAAACAATTTCACAAGTGGTCTATGCCGTCACAGATTATGAAGATACTATTTATACAAAATTACAAGGGACCTTGGAAATGAGATTGAGAATTCAAATGTATGTTGAATAGCATATGAAACGTCAAGTTTATATCAAAACACGAAAGTTCACAATTTATCACCGCTATTTGTATGTTACTTTTACAGTCATATCTCTCCCAACGGAGACCTCTATAAGACGGACACTTCGATAAACCGGACACCAAGAGTGGGTTCCTGCCTTTCTTAACTCCTTTAAGTGTTACTATCTATAAAACGGACATCACTCTAAGATCGTACACATAGTGCAAGTCCCAAAGGCGTCCGTCTTATGGAGAGTTGACTGTAGTTAACTATTACGGTCATGCTCTGTAGGGCTCCGCATTCCTTTATAATTAGTTCTTTTGATAGCCCGTGAGACGCCCAAAAGGGCGAGGCTTTCCCTTCCTTTAAACCCCCATTAAGCGGCCATCCTAGGGGTAACGGCAAGTGGCTGCCTAACGGATTTTTGTCATAAATTAGCATAATCGGAGTTAGCAGAACATCGCTAAATTCTTAAACAAATGCACCATCTGTTGTCAACTTCTATCGTGGATTGTATTCTTTTTCTTTATATTTTTTTAAAATACAGCCAACTGGCCGCTAAATAGCTAGGTGATCGCTTGATGGAGGTTCAACTGTATTTCTCGTTGGTCATAACCGGGAGTCTTCATTTTCCGTCCATGTTAGACTCAGATTTGAAGGGTGAAGGCTAGGGATGGAGAAAAGTGATGACTTGACTGAAACACACTCCAGTCCTCGGTCAGGTTGATCTTCCATCATTTCATCGATGTGAGCCATGAATGAGTTGGCGTAACGCAAAATGGGCTTTCTGCTGTTTCGCCTCCTTAATCTGGAAGTTAGACAAAATTTTTTAACTTTTATTGCTGGTTTTTACGTGAAGTCATCAAAACGTACTCAAGCAAAATAAAAGAATTATGGATCCCCCTTAGGTTTTGTTTGCTCTTGATTTGAGCAACTAAAAGCTTATATTTTTACAAATTTTTTCTTCCAAAGGGTCCTTCGTTTTGTGGTAAGGTACGTTAATGGAGGAAGCTGTCATTTAGGTTAAAAAAGTGGCTAATATTTTGGGAGATTTTGCTGAGGTCTTTGCTATCTTTATTAGTTATATAGTTCTTGTATTAGAATTAATGTTTATGAGTTCCTTCCGTTGTCTGTTTCCATCTTTTGGTTTCCGGTCGCCATGTTGGTGCCCAGTCAGTAGACACCAACATGTCCAACATGGCGTCTCACAAATCTCTATCATACATTTGGGTAAATCGTTTCACCGAATTTGTCGCGTATGAAAAATTGCACTGACCTGAATCTTGGTGAGGGTCTTTGCGTATTTACCTCTTTTCATTTCTCAGGTTCTGGATTAGACAGTCAGAGACAGTCATTTTAACTTTTGATGACGCGAAAGAAAAATCCTGCCGAAACATGTTATGATAAAGCGTATCTAGTGTCTTGGTTGACTACCGAGAGAATCTGGTATCTTGCCCTCCTCGAATTCTCGATTTCCTACCCCTTTGGCGCGGCAAGACTTTGCTTGCAACTTTCGTTTTGTTTTGTTTGTTTCGCTTATCTGTTCTAACAGTAGAAGCGAATAACCTCACGTGCACCAGTTTAGTTATAACATGAATACGTACCTATAAGTTAAGATAACTCCTAACAGGATTAAAATTGCCACCGCTCCTGCTGTCAAACCAATAATGACTTGATGCTGCTGCTGCTGCTGCTCTGACATTGCTGAAAGGTTTTCCATATTTGGACTCGATCCTTTCACTGTTCGTATCAAAATAAGAGTGCACTTAATTAATCATCCTTCACACCCATTAATGACATTTTCGTATATAATTGTAGACTTAAAAGAGACCTCAAATTGTTATTATTATTATTATTATTATTATTATAATAATATAATAATATCAGAGAGCCGTTGAATTATACCGAGCTGGAGTACTATCTGAGCGAAACTATATTGATGTCTATCATAAGAACGATTATTAATACTTCTTTTTAAATGCTTAAATTAAATGGTACGGGACTTAGTCATATTGGAAGCCTTTTTAAATATAGGCATACACCGTATGGGCTAAGAGGCAAGGGCTTGAAAAAATATATATTTGGAATTACCTAACTTTAATCATAAATTTAAGAAGAATTCTTTCACTTATTCATCAACTAAGTTATGGAACAGTTTGCCCTCTCAAGTGCGTCTTTCAAGTGATGCTAATGACTTCAAAAGTAAACTGCACGATTGCAGCTTTTTAGAAAGTGTCTTATAGTGCACGATTGTAGCTTTTTAGTATTATAGTTTTCAAGTCATGTTTTTAGTATATGGCTTTTTATTAGGTTTTAGCTTTTTTATATTTTATGTTTTTATTACTAAGGTTTTAATATTTATTGAGTTGTTTTTAAAATTGAATAATATTATAACATAGCTGTAATTATTATAGATTTTATTTGTACACGTTACTATTTTGAACGAGTTTTCTAGCTCCTCGACGTAACGAGTCAAGATTGATTGATTGATGCGGAAGGCACAGAATACAATGGGTAACGTACGTCACACTTGATTGTAGGCAATGTCTGACTCAACAATTTTCCCTAAATTAATGTGTTTTAAGACAAATTTGGAAAATGTGTCTTTGGACAAATTAGTTTAAGAGATAAACCTCATGTTAGATAATCTAAGACCGTCTTACACGGGGCGAGCATTAGGTTTTATCTGTTAGGGTTGATTTCCAGTGTGGCGTAATTTTTACGGGCGTACGTGCGTAAAATTTACGTTCGCAAGTAAAATAGAGGCAATGCATGAAAGGTCGCTCGTAAGCGTAAAATTTGAATCTCGCTCAACTTCTCGTTTAAGCTCAGCACTTTTTATCTTGCTTCCATTGTATTTACGTGATTAAAATTTACGTGCGTTAACGTGCGTAGCCAAAAACGCGTCAATAGAAATCAACCTTTAGACTAAATAGAACCCACACAATGGTTCACAATAGGCCCTTCGCACTAAGAGGTCATGTGACATCGCTTTTATGAAAATAAAAGTTATATGATATTGCCTTAGAAAAGCGATTAGTGGGTCATATCTTAAACAAAATAATATTGATTTGGTTTTTCAAACCCGCACCATTCTCTGAAAATGGGTCGAGAGTATGCTCTCCAACATTGCGGCCAATACAAATCATACTACTTTCATTGTTGAAAAATCAAAATGCCATAAAATGTCTCCCTTAAATGCGTTTCCTCTCAAATTTAGGGTGTAAGATAATTTTTATTTGCTCCGTCAATTTTTGGCATCAGCAAGACTCCAACTCAGGGTTTAAAGGAAGCATTGGCCACGTGACCTCTTAGTGCAAGTAGCCTATAACAACTCTGTGGATTCCGGGTTCCAGTTACACACAGGGTTCCAGATTCTCTGTCAGTGCCACTTAAATTCCACATTCTAATCGTTAGCGGGATTCCAGATTCCTTCAGTTAAATAATGGATTCCAAAGCCGGGGATTCCGGATTCGACAAGCCAAAATTTTCGAGGATGCCGGAGTCTAAATTCCCTAACATGGGACGATATTGTTGCCTAGTTACACCTCAAATGCACGCATACAAACAAGAGGTATGAACTACCTGTGCAGAGTTGTCCATCACCAGCGAATCCAGGTTTACACTGGCAGATAAAAGAACCATTGACCTTAGTGCAAATGGCATTTGGATGACACTCCGGAAAGCAGTCATTGATTGGGACACAGTTGCCAAGTTTTTCATCGCAAACACATTCGTACGACCCAGGTGTGTTGCGGCATGTTCGATTTTTGCTGCAAAGGTGAGCGTTAGAGGTGCATTCATTAATATCAGAGCAACTGAAACCATCTCCAGTGTATCCTGGCAGACAATTACAGTGATAAGAACCGTCCGAGTTGATGCATGAAGACTTCTTATCACAGTTATGTAGGTTGAGATCGCATTCGTTGACGTCCACGCATCCACTTACATTAGCGGCAAAACCCAGCTTACAGACTGGGCTGCAAGAGAAAGAGCCAAACAAATTAACACAAGATGTCTGATTTCCACAATAATCCTCTTTCAGAAGACATTCGTCGATATCATTGCAGTCAAAACCATTTCCTGTGAACCCATTCTGGCAAGTGCAATTAAACGATCCTGGAAAATTCACACAATTCCCATTCGAGTGACAGCTGTAATTCTGCGAAGAACATTCGTCGATGTCTGTGCAGTTGAGCCCATTTCCATAGAAACCCTGATTGCATTTGCAATCATAGGAACCAGCGGTGTTTCTGCACGAGGCATGCTCATGACAGTTGTGAGTTTCGCTTGCGCACTCGTCGACATCATGACATGACTTCTCATTTCCGGTAAAACCCGCTGAACAACTGCACCTGTACGAGCCGGGTGTATTGAGGCAGTTTGCTGCACTGCTACAAAGATGTGTACCAAAGGAACATTCATTTATATCGCTACAGTCAAAACCGTTCCCACTGAATCCTGAGTTGCACACGCAGCGAAATGAACCCGCTGTGGTGATGCACGAAGCGTTTAAATGGCAGAGGTTGTTGTTGCCGAAAGAACACTCGTCTCCTTAAACAAAAATATAATATGATAAGTGGTCTTAAGCTTACGTTCGGAAGTTTATTAGTTTGGTTGACTGACTGAACTGCCCTGTAATTTACCACAGGCATACCAAGCTCAATATGTGAGCGCATGTGTCTGCTAAAAAAAATGAAACAAAAATATATATATCACCATCGCCTAATCTGAGCTCATCGTGTGGCAAATAATTAAAATAAACCATGAATAAACTTACTTTTTCTGTGGTTTGTGTTCTCTATCATTTTTGAAGCAATTTGAGCTTGTTTTACTTTCCTATCTTAACTTGATTTGGTTAAGATGGCTGGATAATTGTGGCCTTGTTTTATCATCCTTATCTGTTTTTGTTTGTTTTGTTTTTGTTCTTGTTTTCTGACCTCATGATTAGTTGTTTTCGACTTAGTCTCTCTCCAAAAAAAGAAAAAAAAATTAAAATCCAAATAAAATAAAACAACTTATTGACCAATATCTTCCCATATCCTCACGCTTTTGGTAAATAACGTAATATATACGTTGCACAAGACAAGTGCGCCCCTATAAAGTCTGTCTATCTTAAAGTTTTAACCTTTTCTTTTTCTTCACTTGTATGACATACCTGCATTAATATTCGAGAACAGCAAGCATGGCAATGAAATATTCCAAAGAGCAAGGAAGAGCCACCGAGGACAGCGCATAATTTGAACGGAACGACGCTGCCCGTCGTCAATGTAAGCCAACAAGTCATGCCGCATAACTTAAAAAAAAGCATCACAGGTTCCTAAAAGAGAGACGGATTGTAAAAATAAAAAATAAAAATTTTTCTTAAACGAAATTCCAAACTCGGAAGCACTATCTTCTGGTTTATTCAGTCTGTATAAACGTAGGCGAGAACAAACGCTCCGAGGGAATGGGAATGCTTTACTGCATTTTGTTAGACTTTAGGTGTGACACCTGAAAAATTAAGGCTTTTTGCAGCTAGTCATTCACGTGGCACAAAATCGCCAAGCAGGAGAGAACATTGGACGCAGTGGGACAAGAAAATAAAAGCAAGGGAAAATAGAACTACCATTTTAGCTGATGTAAACCTTCTTTTGTCTTGTCTCAGTGCGTCCTTTAAACTTGTTCGCCACCGTACCATTGCAAGTTTGTACCACGTGAATGATTAGCAAAGAGCCTGCTATCCGGATAGCGGGACTTCCCGCCGTAGATCAGGGAAAGGCGAAATGACCATCCACTCAAAGAGTCTGGCCGTGCCACTCACTATCGGTTTTCGAGCCGTTTGTGATGAGGGGAGATATCGATGAATTACTTACAGTGTGATTTATAACGGCCGTTAGCGCTGACGTTTGATCTCAATGTCGGTCATAGATTGGCTCGCAACGAGCTTTAATTGCATGACCATACGTGTACATACTATTACAGTATTGCGAAAGCAATTTTGAGAACCAAAATTACATCAAAGGGCAATTAAGTTACTTTGGTAATAAGCACAGTTTCATTGTTCATTCAGTCATTATACCTTTATCTATCGTTCCATTCTTAACAGGCTACTCAAATAATGAGGAGAAAGCCAAGTCGTGCCAAGTTGGGTAAACGACATCAATTTCCCTAAAAGTTTGTCCACTGTCACAAATAAGCTGTTTCAGCTTTCACTTAATCTTCTTGAAAGGTTAGTTTTAATACTGGGAAATAAAAACACTAGAACGTGACCATGTAGAAGGCAAAACAGTCGGGTTTTTTTTTAGCTTTCCGTTTTCCGCCTCGCTCCAGACCTTTTGTTTGACTGTTCGCGTGAACTTGAATACGCAGAAATACGGACTGTTTTGCAGTTAAGTGATCACGCTTCTTTTCGAGATCGTTTGAGGAACATATTTAAGGCACGCCTGAGGTGGCCGGGGGGCGTGTCCGAGTTGTGCAACTCTGCACTTGAAGCCCCAGTGCATCCTGTCTCTATTTACTGTTTCAAACATTGTAGCTGATCGTTTCCGCAGGAGGAATTCGAAACCGGTCTGAATCCACGCTTTGTAAAAATTTTTCTAACAATCTGTTAATTTCCTGCAGACTTCAAATTGAGCGTGTCATCATCATTTGTTGTCATAATAGTTATTGTTTTCGTCTGTTTATAAGCTTCCAGTCTTTTTCTAGATGTTTAAAATTTTACTGTAACCTTTTTAACCGTCACCTCTGAAGATGTAAGTTGTTACATACGGAACGTCAAGTCTTTAAAATCTTAGTTTTTTGCAACATGCGTTGTTTCATCAGGTTTGTCACGGCAGTTTGTATTTTATTTTTGTTGAAACAATCAGTTATATCATACTTAAGTATACTACAGCGAGAGTCCTTTCTCATTCACCATGATAGCGACTACGAGAGCAAACGGTTTTGCAAACATTTTCTATTAAATTTCTCTACATTAAAATTTGCGCCAATTCATTTCCGCCTGTTGCTTTACATTTGACCTCGCGATGGTGGAGGTACAAACTAATCACGCACATTGAACGGGTTAAAAAATTCTTTAGTTCCTTGATACATTTATTTGACATTGGGTAACGAAAAAGAAAAAGATTTCGTGTCTCTCTCGTGCATTAATTTCTTCCTGAGGATTTCAAAGCTTGATTTAATCGGTTACATGGAAATGACAAAATCCTTATAACGTAAAATACTGCCGCACATGCACTGCTGTCGTTGTTACCAGAGGAAGCAAACCACCGGAGCTCCTGTTTATTTTAAATATTGTACTCTTACAAACTTACCTAACTTGTGGATAGCAACAAGCACAGCTGGTTCTCCACGCGCGGTGGTTAATTGTAAGAAAACATATCAGTTTGGAAAGTCTCACCTCAAAACCTGGCAGGAAATGATGTGTGTGAGGTAATTCCCTGTGGAAAAAGTAAGATGATACCCAGAAAATAAACGAGATCGATTTCGAATTGTAGCTTGTACCCACTCCTCCCCTCGTGGATTATTGCCATGACGAACTGTAGGGAGGAGGGGGCTCTTTCGTCCGGGTTGTTACTCGTTGCAATTCTTGGTGGTCTTGCACCGCCCAGTCCTGATCCTTCAGTTCAGTCCAAGAATTGCTACTTCCCACACTCATTTTCAGACCTGCCGTCTAAAAGATGGAATTTGAAGAGGTCTGTTTGGCGGTAGGCAAAATCTGTACCCGTTTTCAGGGTTGAAACAACTCAAAACCTAGCTATGATATGCAACAGGGAGAACACTAAAAGGAAACGGTACCTAGAGAATTCAGGTGGAGACTAGAATAGGTAAAGGTGAAGAACAGTGCTGCAGTCTTGGATAAGTAGGGGAAGACCCAATTCCTCCCTAAACCCCGGCCGGCCCCCTTATTAAATCAACTGCGGGTAAGATATAATTCAAATTTGTACGATATTGGCTCAGGTGTAGTGGTGGAAGTCTTAAAGCTTGGCACGTGACATGATGTGTGTTAAAAAAGGAATCACGCTTGAGTTAACGCAATCTCGTGATGGGTTCCACGGTAACCGCTGACGCACTTGTGTTCTCGTAGAACGTTCAGCAAACTCCGCGTAATCTTACAAAATGGCACTTTCTTTTAATATAACCTGTTAGATCTGCTTTCAAAGGACATTTTTTATTTGTTTTTCCACCGGATAAGAGGTAAGCAGCCATCGTTTTAGTGCCCAAATCATCTTGTTTTGGTTTTGATGCCAGTTTAAATTTGTCCGCTTTGACCTGTCACAAACTTGCTGATAAGTCATTGGAAGCTAAATGAAATTTTGCAGATTTGCAAACCGGTGTTAGTATATATAATATGTTTATGACGCTTTGAGTTAAGATTTCTTCAAGTTTACTTTTAGATAACTTGCAAAAGTTGCCGTATTGTCACTGTTATTTTACGAATTTGTACTTGGTTTACTATTATGGTGGTGTTGGGTTTCTAAAGTAGTTCGGGTTTCCGCTTAAAGCTTAGAGTCAAGAAAGATGAGGAATAATTTTAGCTGATTTTGGTTTCTGTTTCAGATTTATGTGATTCGTGGATATAATGAGATGCTCTCTGTTTGTATTACCTATTTTTGGCGTATGTTTGGTAAGGAAAGCAAACTTTTATTTATCATTTATAAAACCGTAAATGCAGAATGAGTCACGATTATTTGCGCGCGCCTTTTTAAAGTGAACCGATCTCAAATTCAGGAGTCTCAAACTTTTCTCCTCATGGGTAGTGTGTTTTGGAATAATCTTGTTTACCACGTCTTCCTTATTTAAAAGAGTTGTGGTAATTTATTAAGATCATTGGATGACCCAACTCGCTCTCTATTTTGTTGTTACAATTTTTCCTTTATTTCTTAGTTGTATTGTGTTTAGATGCCTATGTAAATTTAACCTTTATAACCCCATTTACACGCGCTAAAAACTCGACACGGCAAGCCAAATTTTTGGCACCGTGCTGACTATTTTAAGGCATGGCACTCCCAATTTTCGACGTGTAAATATATCGGTCCCAAATGTAATGTGGCACCAGTGCTCAAAATTTTACGGGTGCCGAGATTTACCTCCGGGAGGTAGTCTCGGCACGGGCAAACGAGGCACAGACTGCCAAAAACTTGGCGTGCTAATTTTTTTTTGGCGTGCTGTGCCGATTTTTTTAGCATGTGTAAATGGGGTTTATGTCTTGTAAAACTGAGCTGAGTTTTATAAATCATCTCATCTCATCTCATCATTTTACTACACAACTACACAAAGCAAAGATCTCGATTGAGAGAATGTTGGTCGAATTAAAGAGCATTTGAACAATGTTTGAATATTAAAATAGTTGGAAATTAAGTTTCTTTTTTGGTGTTGTTTTATGAGGGTTTATACAAAATATGGATTACTCTTGGTTTTTGTTCAGCTTTCTACCTGGTTCCCCCTGTTTCTTGTTGCTTTGTCTGTCATTTCTGAGACGGCCTGTCGCCTAGTAGGTTAACATAACATTAACTTAACATTAACCATCAACATAACATTAACTTAATGGTTTACCATTGGGGGGTTTAGCAAAATAATTAATATGTATTGATGCCATGTTCACAGAACTCCTCATAGCAGTACCTTTACAGTGGTATAAGCCTGCAGAACAAGCAAATTTTTTAGGCAAGCACAAAGTAGGCAAAGCTTGTTGGGGCTCCAAACAAAACATGCCATGTTGATAATAAAAGCATTTACTTATTTTCTTGGAAGGTTATACAGCCAAGTAACAGTGGAATAATTTGTGATGAAAACCAATACGCAATTATAAATTCAACTGGAACTGTTCAGAGATGTCTGACCTGTGATACATGCCACAAGGGATTTGGATTACACCCAAAATGTGGTAGTACTCTGCAAGATCCTCCAACGACTGCATGCCATGCCTGCAAAACAGGAACATTTTCCAGTGCGGATGATTCTTCCCCATGTAAAGCATGTCATCAGTGTGCAGAACATGAAATAAAGACAGCAGAGTGTACCAACAAAAATGACACAGAATGCAGTGGAAAGTGTGAGAAGGGATATTTCATGAGCGAGACTCTTCGCAACTGCCAGGAGTGTTCTGCTTGTTGTTCAGATGGAAAAGATGAGAAGATTAAAGAATGTGTAAGCCAAGGCATAACAAACAAAGAATGCAGTCCTAGGCTAGATAAGATATGTGCTGGTCAGCTGGCAGGTACCACAACAACAACATCAACAACAACAACAACAATAACAACAATAACTGATGCTACAAAAGGCAGCGGGGGTTTAGCAATGGAGCATTGGATCATAATCATAGTGGTTATTGTTGCCATTCTGGCCATCTTCATATTTGTGATAGTTTACAAGTACTGTAGGCTAAAAAAAAGGTCATCAGCTCGAGAACAAAGGAATGGATCAGCAAAGACAGGTAAGCTTGCCTTATACTTGTAATATTCCTGTAAATGCAGACCCTGAGGTACTCTATATTGTATCAACAAACCTGGATTGGACCTGCCAGATCAACCCTGACTACTATGTACTTGTACATGTGCCTTACTGTAAAGATATAAACATAATATACTGTAGCTAGCTTTTTCTCAACTCTCGCTTATAAACTCACCCTTTAATCAACAGGATGCCCTTTTGCTATAAAAATTTAAGTGTCAGTACCATAGTGTGATGTTTAGCAAAAGTGTATAGTTCAGTTTAATATTAGGAACAGTCTTTTATCCATTTTACATACAGTGCATACATGTACATGTATATATATTATTTTGGCACTATTATATATACCCAGTCCCAGAAGAAGAAGAATTTGTAATCCTTTTACATGGTACTTTATTTTGTAAATACAATGTAATTCACCTTTGGGTGCTAGTTTGTAATTGATAATAAACCATTATTATTATATTTATGGCAGTACAAACGTCTGCATGCCCAGAGTAAAAAATAAAAGCTTTGGCTGGGGGGAAACCGTAACCAGCCACAGCATCGAATAAAACTTTTAGTAACAATTACACAATAATTTGCGCAAAAAAAAAAAAAAAGAAAAAAAAACATGGTAAAAAAAAAAATAATTTGATAAAAGTTTCATAAAAAAATTAAAAAAAAAAAAAAATTGATAAAAAATTTTTTTTTGATTTTTAAATTATAAAATAAAAAAGTGATAAGATTAAAA